GCTGTAGGCAGGCATCCTGAGAGCAGAAGAGCAAAGTGACAATACTGCAGTTCACAGCAGTACTCCCTGCTCTGCTGTCAGTATAATTAGCTAACTTAAGTTTACTTCTGTGTATCTGGAGGCCCTGGCAAGTATGTATTTGTGACTGTCTATGTAAAAGTAGTTGTATGCTTACTTTAGAAAGCAATTCTGCACACTGATGTGCTGCCTTTCCCCCCTCCCCCAGCTTTTAAATTTATTGTTTTAGTCAACAGTGATTGTTGAGTGGTTTCTTTTAGTAATGTTCTCTGCCTTTCTTTTAACACAACGGGTCTGTTTTCAATATTTTCAGATTTTTTTTTTGACTGTTAATCTTTGCATTTTTACCCTCTCTATATTATTAGTCTGCTTTCTGGCTTCAAATTTTTTTTTATCTTTTTTAAAATCTAAAGGAATGCTTTGAAGTACTTTCTCCCCATGCCTTCTGTCAATTCCATTTAAGTTTTTCAGTGGTGGGTTAGGTTTAACATAGGAAATAAATACACCCATCTACTGCAAATGTCACCCTAAAACTTTTGAACTGCTTTTGTTTAAGCTAAAAGCAAACAAGCCCTTGCCTCTGACTCGAAACAAAGCATAGTGAGCTTCAAACCCAAAGTAAATAACTTTGCAAAATTATAAACATTTAAAAAATGGTTACGTTGAATTCTTCTGTAGTGCCACAGTGAGTGGCGCTCATGATACTGGTAGTTTTTTAATACCACTTTTGGTTGAGTGTTTTGGCTGAAAGAAAACTGAGTGTATGATATTTCTCTTTAAGACCATAATGACAGTGGGCTAACAGCTGTGAATGCTCTTGGTGGTTAGTGTATGAGACCTTGGTTTGATTCTTGTCCAGTGTACATACTCTAGGGTCTGTGTTTGCATGGCTTACACCAGGTTTGTAGATAATTTAATGTGCTAGGGAGACAAGCTACATGTTTGGTGGGATATTGGTGGTTAGAGTGGTTAAGTACAAGGAACCAGAAGGAATAGGACCAACAAAAACTTTTGCTGGAGAATAAAAATGCAGTTGTGTAGAGCTAGGACAGCATCAGGCAGGTTTTGAGAAGGAGGAGAACTGAAACCTGCTGCTCTTGTGTGTCAGAGTTAAATGTTCCCTGTTCCAAATGTACATCACCGACTTGCCAAAGTGGAATCCTTGGAATAATGAATGTATAGTGTATTGTAAATTACCTGTGTACATCCAATCTGTATCCTTTGATACAAACCTCAAGGCCTGGGATGGAACTGATGGCTATCATCAGCACGTAGCACTTAGCACAACCAGACTGCTGCACAAACATGTAGCTAAACATTGTGAGATCTTTGCAAAGTAAGAAAGAACATTTCTTACTTTGGGGGACTTTGGACTGAATTAGTGTTGAAGCCAGGCCAGTGGCCAGTTAATTGACCGCAGTGATCTGTAAAATTAAAGGAACCATTTCCCAGCTCTCCCGTTTGAAAGATGCTAGTTACTTACTTCATTAATGTGTCTTCTTGCAGGCTCCCACCATGTTTTGCAAGCACTGAAAATGCTCTTGCGGAGAATTTTTACTTTTTAACTTTTAATTATTTAATCTCCCTTCCTTCTTTGAACAGCTTTCCCTAGATGACATTTTTTCAGCTTTCTTGCATCTTGCTTGCTCGTGTGCCGATTCAGAGCAGTCAGACCGATACGAAACTTTCCAGTACAGTAGAATATCTCTTTCTGTACTTGTTTTCCACACCTGGTCAGTTACATTCATGGCAGAAGGTTGTTCATGTATCAGACCAGACATCTCTTTTAAGAAACATAGATGGGAACAGTAATCAGCTTTCTCTCCAGATCAATTTCACTGCTATTGGCAGGTTTCTCTCAGACTAGTTAATGTTTCTTGAGAAATTATTTGCCATTTCCCTTGAAAAATGTCCCAAGATCGCTCCAAGAATTGAAATCTTCCATCTGCTACTGTGCTTCTTTGCAATCAGGCTTCTCTACAGCTGGTGAGTGGGAAAGAAAGTAACTATATTTGGCCAGATGTTATCCTCTGCTATCATACATACACAACACTTGCAAATTTTGTCTTTTTTTTTTTTTGTTTTAATGCCCTATAGCCTGTCATCTACCATTTGTCCTCACCTCTCAATTAAGTATTGTATCATCTGTATTCATCCTTCCTCCGACTCCTTTATACTTGCTGTCTTTCCTTCTTTTACGTACAGTTATTTTCAGCTGTCTCCAAGCCTTCCTGCTTCTCCCATCATCATAGATTCCTTGCACAGGCCCTCACCATCTGTTCCTCATCGTTTGCATCCCTGTCCTATGTTTGATTTTTTTTTTCAATATCTCACCTCCTTCTGCTATTCCTTTCCTTATCTTCATCTTTTATTTGTTGTCATGGGAATACCCACTGTGACTTCTAACTAACACACAAAGAGCTGGAGTTTCTTTTTATTTTGTAAATTCTTGATTGTGAAGACAGAATTAAAAAAAAACTACCACCAAACCACACAAGAAATTAAAATCTGAGAGAGAAGAAAGCAAAATCTTGAATAAAATTATATAAAAATCATCGTTGCTTTTAGACAGAAGAAGATCTTCTAATCTTATAACCTCACGGCATGGTAACCTTGCATTTAATGTAGGTCAGAATTGAAGAAAATTCTGTAGTTCTCGTTATTTGTCACTATTGTCTCTTTCATGATTAAATGCTATGGAATATGGAGGACCAAGAAAATAATGTCCCATACTGGGAAACATGCATCCAGGTTGGAAAGCAGGTTTTATGATTGTATTGCAACTCCCTGAGAGCTCCTTCTATGCTTCCATCTTAGAGAATGTAGAAACGTTCCTAAAGAACCTCATGAATATGAAAAAACAGAGAAAGTGACACCTTTACGGCCACTCTGGCAGAAAGCATTGGCTAATTCTTTGCATTTGTGGTATATGGGCCTAGATAAGATCCTTGGCTTGTCTGCTTCCTATGCGAGTTTCGTTCCAGAAAAATTCTCCATTCAGAGATACTGAACATTGTATTCTCTGGTATTTGTCTTCCCAGGGCTTCATGAACTGTAAACTACACCTAAGTGCTTGTCCTCTTCTGAACCACATGCTTCTGTTTGGTATGGCATAATGTGGGGTCTAACACACTTAATGTTATATGAATTTTGTGGAAAGCCCATAAAGAGTACTGTTTAACTATCCACCAAAATTAAGATGTTGGTGGACTTCGAGCCACATACTGAAACCCACGCTGCCTCTGTGGTTACTTGCACTGAAAGCCATGAGTAAACAGCTGGATGTATTTTTCCTCAAATCATATATGCCTTGCCATTAGTGTAATTTCTGTATAAATTGAAGAAAAACTAAAATATTCTTTTTAAAAGGAGACCTTCTTGTCTGCATGTACATTCACACGTGCATGAACACATACTTATCCAGAAAGAGTAAGTGATTTTTAAAAGTTGAGCTATAAAAGGAACCCCTAAACCCAGTGAGCTGCACTTGGGATGGGTCTTAATCTATATGAACTACCAGTACAGAGTTTTTTTTACCCTTATGGCTGATCCCTAAGACCTGGCAGTAAGCTCTGCATTTTTATCATGCATTTACATTTAATATGGTTTTCTGAAAATGCAGCCTGCATGTGAGTTTAAATAGAAATGGAGAAGTGATTATAGCTGCAGAACAGCTCTATTTGCATTGTATGAATGTGGTCTTGGTGTTTCAACTGCACAAGGATATAAATGGTAAGGTCAAATTATCAAGGCTAGGGATTGCAATAAATGTCTAGGAATGCTTTTCCACTCAGTGGGATCTTTAAGTGAGGAAGGGGGGAATATAGAAATGGAGGCTTCATGTGAGGGGTTTGAGGCGGAGAGAAACATGAACTGACAGCCACCTTCATTATCTTAGCAATTAGTCTGATATACTAGTTTTCCATGTGACTGCTGCTCAGATCATCTTAAAGCTAAACCAAAGAGTGAGAGTACTTACAAAGCCTACTATTTTGTTGTCTTTTTTTTTTCCTTTTTGTTTTTGTGTTGGTTTCAAATGCAGTAACCCGTTTCCAGACTAGATTTCATTAGAATTTTTTTTGCATTCTCATTCATCTCATTTAATAATATTTCAAGGTGCTTTGGCTAATGCTGAGTATTCTGTCCCTGAGGGGTGAGTCAGACATCCTGCTCAGCTTGAGGGTTTCCGAAGTTTCTCTGGAAAACTTCCAACTAAACTGGAAGGGCCTGGTTCAAGATGGGTGGCAGGTTAATAGAGAGAGGTCTCTCTTGATGAGCAGTTCCTCCCAGAGTAACAGGAAAATGCAGGGAGGATTCACACCAGCCCCGTGAGATCCCACTTCTGTGAGATTCCTCTGCCTCAGGCCCGAAGGAAGGGAACTCTGAAGTCGAGCAGTGTGAGTGCAGCACACAAAAAGGGGGCAGTGGCTTTGCCTGCCTTTGAGCTATAGAGGCTTCTATTCACCAGTTTGCAAAAGGAATTGGGGCCGTGCCAACGGCATGCCAGGCTTTGGGAAGACTGGTATCAGCAGCTGAGCAGGTGGATCTGCTGCAGCTTTTGTCACTGCTTCCATTGAATAAGAAGAGCTGGAAAAGGACCAAAGGAAATCATCTAATCCAAAGCATCCATGTCATGGAGTCCTTTGCATTGAGATGCCAGATTATGGTATGAAATAGGATTTTGGTCCCATGCTGAACATGGCAGTATGTAACAAAATTATGTGCCATGGGAGTGAAAATTTCTTAGACTTTAGGTTGCTTCCTGTAATTCTTTTCTGTCATTCAGAGCCTTAGACTTATTTTGGGTGCTTTTGTATTTATTTCGGGTTTATTTTTATTATGCAAGTTAGGTATAAATTTATATACTTAAACATGTATATCCACCTGTTTATTTAAATATATTTATATGTACACACATTTTATAAGTATGTTTAATATATGTTACTGAATAGTTTGATTTTGTTCTTTGTTTCCTTTATCAGTTTGCTGAAAGCAGTCAGAAAAAAGAAGCTTTAGAAAAAAGCATTGAGAAAGCAAAAATTGGACGTGAAGATACTGTAAGTTGCTCTAGGGGGAGGCATTCTTACCGGGAAATAGGGCTACAAGTATGCAATGTTTGTAAATACTAATGTAGTTGTTGGAAATCCATTACGAATTCTAAATACCGGAGATGAGAAAGGGACAGAAAAAAATCAGATATTAGATTATTCCTTAGTTGGTCATGCACTAATGAGTAAAGTATTGACAACTGGCTGCTCCAAGGCTGAGAAAATGTGTGACTGCCTGAAGTCTAGTAATCTTCCGGGCTTTTTCAGATTTAAAGATATCTTAAAGCTTGAACTACCCAGAGGTATGTACCAAGGTTGCCAACAGCTCTGCTGAAGCTGCCAAATCTAGTAACTGCAAACTTACGTGTTGGAGGTCTTATTTTTTTTGATCTTATTTACAATCTAGGTTTTTAAATTACTATTCTGAGCAGCCATGTAAGCTCGATGCTCTTTGCATGCTGAAGCTGTTAACACTGCAAAATAATATTTAGGCTTCATATTTACCATACACATGAAGTAGCATATTAATTAGAAATACATATGGTATTCTAAGTTGCTGATTTGTTTTGAGATCCTCAGTCTAAAGTGGTTTAAACCTCCAATAAATAAATGCATAAATGGGAATGGCCGGAAGCTTTTAGCTCAAATTGAATTTTGCAGGAAGTGCCAAATCTTACGATCTAAAATGTTTTATAGAAACTCTCTGGGTTTGACTGTAATCAGGGAATCACAGGCAGGTTTCTCACACACTTATGCTTGTCAGATTTCCAAATGGAATGTTTGAGACTTGGGCTTCACCGTGTGGCCTGCCCTAGTCACAAGAACCTTTTGGTCTTGGAAAATCCGTTTCTGGCTGATGCTTCCAACATTTTGGTTACGGATTGTACATCAGGAAGAAGTCCTGAGAAATCTAGATCATGATACAGATCTTTGAGCAACTGGCTTCCATACCCCAGCATCAGGAAGCTTTTGATTTCCAGTCTGCATTTTGAGAACACGCTGAATCCAGACTGTTGGCAAAAGCACTGGCAATATGGAATTTTGGGGAAAAAAAACAACAAAAGCCCACCTCAGTCTGTTGGGCTGCCATGGAGATTGCCATTGACTAAAAACCTGATGGTTTACAAACTCATGCTATCTGGCTCTTTTAGGCTACCCAGTGCCCTAGCATGAATTCTTTGAATATCAGCTAGTTCCAGTATTTGGCTGTAACTGCAGACTGAATTAGAAATATGTGCTGAGGTGGCGATGGGAGAGCTCATGTTGAGTCAGTGTCTGCAGATTCTTATTGATCAATAGAAATTTGAGGTCGATATTATATACCCTCCCAGCAAAAACTACCATGTCATAAATATCTGAATTTATTTTTGAGACCACTGCTCTTAAATGGTGTGGGAAAAAAGCAGAAAAATAAATTCAGAGAGTGTTCATACACGGCATCCCAATTTGTGGAAGTGTGAATGGTAGATTTTTCTGTAATGCTGTCTTTAATTACAAAACTAGCACTCCTAAATATTGTTTAACTTTTAAGCCCCAAAACTAAGAGATCTGTTTGGAATTTGTCAAACCACACTGAGTTCAAAGTTTGTAGAAAATTGTTAGTTTATCCATTTTGGCCTTAATTTGTTTTCCTTCCAGTTTGTACTCGGTATCATTTAGTGTCACTGAGAGTTGTGTGTGTGCATAAAATGCTGAACTGGTTCATTGACAGAAAGCAGTAATAAAAACAGCTTTTAAATGTATATATTTTTATTTTTTGAAAAACATTCTCTGCAATAATTGCTGATTTTAATTTTTGTTAATTTTTTGTGTGTCTCCCAATGTACTTTGAATCCTCAGGCAGAACGTGCAGCTCTAGTAGAGGAACTTGCTGCCCTTCGGCAGAAAAAAGAACAGCTAAAGGCAGAAATAGACAAATACAGAGAATGTGATCCAGACGTCGTTGAAGAAATGCGTAAGTTGTATAATGTTTAAAGTGAAATTTTGCACGCAAAGGCCTGCACTTCTTTAGCTTAAAATCTGGTATGCAGATATAAGCCAAAGCAAAGCTGCTTTTCTTTTTGAATCTGTAAGCAATACAATACAGGTACACTGACCATTTCTTTTCATGTTCTGTTGTATTGTGTAAGGAGGGGTTTATTGATATTTACTCTGCCAGCAACTGAGCAGTTAACAAACAATGCTGAAGTTGAAATACTCTGTTGTGTTAGAATTAATATCAGGACTATTCTTTCCAGAACCATATTAATTTTATAACTATGTTGCTGAACCGCAGAATGCGTTTAGGAAGAGTAGTCTCTGGCTGCTCCCATTTACCTTCAATTCCATGCTGGCAAAAATTACTTTGTCTTGTCTATTTAAAACATAAACATTTCATTAGAGACACTTAATTGTCACTTAGATGTGAGTATTGCGGACTTACAGTTTGTACAGTCTCTGACATGTTGAGTTTTGGTTGGAGTTTCTAAATCTGGTGGAATACAATGAATGAGTGACTTTAATACTTAATACAGAATTGGGCACTGAAATATACTTAATATTCTGATCCTTAGCATGAAAAATGAAAAGCATGCATGAAATTTTATTGAATTTTCTCTACTTCAACTTTCATGTTTTATTTATTAGGCTTTTACATTGCTACCCAAACAGCATTGCATATTCAGTTGCTGTAATGCCAAAATGCCATTACAGAGTGATGAGGAACAGGCACAGACCTTTTGCTGAGAAGATAACCTGACTGAATCTTTCTCTTTTCTTATTCTTCTAAGTCCACCGCTTTAGAAATGTGCGGAGGGAAAACCAGGAACATAAACAGAGTTGGCAGCACATCCAAAAATTGGACAGATATTATTTATTTTGAAGGGCTGTGACATTTTTTGTCAGCTGCATTATCTCTCCCCAGGGATGTAATGGTATGCCAGGGAATCGGCAAACTCAGGACCTGAGGTTAGTCACTGTGCTGTAAATCCCTCGCTGTGCGCTCTCCTGAGGACAAGTAACAGACACATTCCAGCTGATTCCAGCTGTAAAAATGAATGAGGTTAGGCAGATACCGACAGCAGAGGGATTCGTAGTGCCAGGTATTTTAACTGCTGAGATACCCTTCTGGTAAGCATGGCACGGAATGATTTGAGGAGCCTCTCTTGTGAAGCAGTGGCAGTGAGCACGTTCCTCAGTACTAGGCACAAGAGGGCAAATCACAACTTGAATGCTACAGCAGACTGCCTTCGCTGGCAACACAGACTAATATCCTGGAAAGAGGAAAGGGAAAGAAATGTAATTGTTAGTTACTTCAGTCATGCCCTTTTTTTGGTTTGTGTGCTTTTGTTTTTTGTTAAAGTGTGTGGAAGCTCCATGTGTGTTTCTGCAGTGGGGGTATGAGCATTTAAGGGAGCCTTGTTGTGCTACCTGCAGGATTCCCAGGGGAACATGCAGTAGTGTTTCAAAAATAATTTCTCCCTGACCTTCAATTAAAAAGTTTCTGCTTCGTTATATGTTTCATCAGTCATTGTTGCACTGGCAGTGCACATTGTTGCTGGCAATGTATAAATGAATAAATGGCAATGTCAATTTTGAGGACTTAATGTCTTTGTCAAAGCTGAGTGGAACTTTACAGGGCTTAAGGGAGGAAAAAAAGACAAATCAGGTTGGGGACGTATCTTTTGTTCCAGAGTGCTGGGAAGTGCAAAGGCAAAACACGATGCAGGAAGTTAATGGTTTTTAGTTTAAGAAGGCAATAAAGAATCTGAGGCAATGAAAGGTGTTCAGCTAGACATGAAAGTTACTGCCGCTGTTTTGCAGAATAAACTTATCATCAAAGTTACTGGCTCACAGATTTTAAAACATTTTCAAACTGCACGAATGATACAATTTTCTACTAGCTCTACAGTTTAGATAATATAATCCTTGTGGTTAATTTCAGTTAGGTCACCTCAGCAGGTTACTTACTCTAAATTACCTTATTTTAATTTTGTTTCAGAAATCAGAGATTGCTGTTATGTTATATAATTACAATCTTTTAAGAGTTGCATTTTTCAATGTAATGTTTTGTAATGGGCAGTTGTCACTTTCTACAGTGGGTTTTCCCGCTTCTTCCTTAATGACGTCAACCTGTAAGGAAGTCTTTCTGACACTCAGTAGAAAATTTCACTCTATTAATTTCCCATCCCATATCATACAGCTGCCTTGATTTTTGTTGTGGTATTTTAAGGATGTATCAAATTGTCATCTGATTTCAGTGGCCTTCAAATGTGGTGAATGCTTTGCTATGCCTTTTTAATTTCTCTTTCCCTCAAAGGAATATTGCAGAAACAAACCTATTGTACAGAGATGAGCCACATTAAAACACACACACGCTAATTCCAGAGTCAAAACAAAGTTTGGATGATTCATAGCAAATATCTGAAGACTCAACTAAAAGCTGAACATCTGTCTTGCTTCCTGAGTCTTGTGGTGGGAAAGTCATGTTTGACCATGTAATTAAATATACTATAATGCGTATTCACAAGGGGGAAAAACAGAATACTAAAATACTAACTCTGTTTTTTGCTGACTTCACTGCTTGTCCTTTTAATATCAGTAACAAATGTTTTTCTATATGTCTTTACTTAAATTTCCTTGCCTTTTGTATTTGAGAGCTGAAGTATAAACTCTTAATGCCTTCCCAAGTTTACAGCATTTGAACACAGAATTTCAATATTTTTATGTAACAATTAACTGCAGTAAATAGCAGAAGAAACAAGATTTAGGGACTGACCACTAGAGGAAGCTACATAATAGTCTGGTTTGGATATATATTTGGATAATTCCATTTTACAGGTAGGATATTGTAAAAATATGTCTAGAATTGCAGAGTATATGTCTATCTTCTAACGACCACTGCAGTTCAGTGGTTAGAACTTGTCTTTGCTACTTGGAAATGTTGTATAAGCCATCTTGTGTGAATTAGAATTGAGTAATAAATTCTTCCTCAGCATTAAAGGCAGTAAAACCAACAACAGTCTTCGGAAGTAAAAAAAGAAAAGAAATACTGGGATTTTATACTTCTCTGTTAAACTTGTAATCCTGCTTCATCTGACGCAGGACAGAGCTCTTGTTTCTCTGCAGAAATTTTAGGCTGGAGGATATTCTCATGGGGAAGCAGCAATTGTAGGGAAGAGATTCTCTGTTCCTCCAGGAGAAAGGCTTATATGACATAACATGTATGTAGGTGAAATTGGATACATGTGATGCTGCTAGATTCCCTAAAGATTACAGTAGAGGACAAAGGTATGGAGGATGCAAGGTTTCAATAGTTCATAATTTATCCAGATTTTCATAAGGCCAACAAAAAAAGCTCCATGTAACATCAAGATTAACTGGCTGCATAGGTTTAATTCTTTCTGCCTGCCAGAGGGAGTTGTATAAAAATAATAAAATTTTTTTGACAATTAATTTTATAGACAGGTTTATCTGTTGCCCTAAGTGTATAAATGATAAAGGTTTTGCTCTGAGTTGCTGGTTTGTAACTGGAAACAGCTAAACGTTTTCAGAGTTCACTGTAAAAGAAACATTTCTAGAATGTCAAACTTCTTGTTCTTCCACTGTAATTAGAGGACAGTTGATTTATACTATATTAAAACATTGTTGGGTCTTAACTATTTTTTTCACAGTAGCTCTGCTTTGGTTACTATGTGCCTTTGCATACAAGAGTAATCTCAGAAATAGTTATATACTGACTGGAGTAGGTGATTTCCATGTGGTATGATTGCTAATATTTATGGGGCTAGTCTTTGATGTCGCCTGTCAGCATTCCAGGTTCATTTAGCAGGTGTTTAGAATGTCCAGTTACTGATAATTTTTATTTCTTAGGCTTTTGCCTTTAAAACAGGGATCTGAACATGCCTAGATAAGCTGTGTTCTCAAAAATTAGTAAACTGCCAGATCCAACACATCTAATGTAGCAATTTTGATGTGAACCGTTTTACTTCTGCTCTCTTTGTTTATTTTTATCCTGTAGCAAGAAGTGTAAGTAGTTCAAATGGACAATGGATTTCAAACCACAAATATACAGATAGTTATCTTTTTGAATCTCCGAAAGTGTGATCTCAGAGGCATCACTACCAGTCCAGTTCAGGGTTAGATTATTTTCTAAAACTAATACTTACATAGCTGTGTGAAAATAAATTTGGGGAAAACATCCAGACTTCGCTGAATACCATGAAAATGTCGTGCTGTATGTAGTATATACTTGAAAGTGTCTTTTTTCATTGTAGATGCTTCAAAAATTTCTAATTCTGATGTGTCTAAACATTGAAAAATTTCAGCTTGACAAACTGTTGTGAAGAATTATATTAGGGTATGCAGAAAGTATGAGAAAATAGTTCTGGGTTTACCAGTTTCTTCATTCATCTTAATATCTTGAGGCTAAATGCTGAAAAGGTAATATTGATTTAGCTGTTGGATTTTGTGGGGTGCATAGTTTGGATTTTGTGGTTTTGAATTTTTTTTGTTTGGGGATTCTTTTGTTGATACACCCAGCTATTATCATCTGTTATATTCAAATCAATTTGAAAATCTGTTATGCATAGAGATGGATTTCATGTTACGAAAACTTTGTACCGAGTGCTAAATTCCCCCCCTGTTCCCAGAGGGGAAACAGTAGTGAGGAAATGAAATGAAGATTAGACTCTCCTGGCTAATGGAGAGGCTTTAAAATTAGTTGCATTGGTTTTACTCAAAATTCATCAAAACACTGAAAATTTACAAAATGATTTAATGGGTTTTCTTTTGCATTTTTATATTTCTTTTATATTTTGTGGCAAAGACTATTGTTCAAGAAACATATCAGAAGGGTTATCTTTGCTTACTAAAGAGCCTTGTCAGTGCTTTCAGTTAATGAACTCTTAAGTAGTTATTTTCATAAATGTAATGATTCACTTGGAAAAGTGAATGTCTAGAAAAAATGTTAAGCCT